TGTTTTTCAGACCACAAGGACCACAGCACTCCAGGGCCTTCTGTCCTCCACTCTCTAAGACTGTCCAAGCTCATGTTCATTGTTTCCATGATACTATCTCTCCATCTCATCCTCTGCTATCCCCTTTTCCTTTTGCCTTCAATCTTCCCCAATATCAAGATCTTTTCCAATGATTACTGTCTTTTCATTATGTGGACAAAGTAGTTAACCTTCAGCTTCAGTATCTGAGTAGCTATGGTCACAGAACAATGAATTTTGTATAAAAGCTTCCTAGCACACATCACAGGGACAAAATGCAGGATGTGTGTGTGTGTGTGTGTATGTGTGTATTTTTAAAGTTCATATATTCCAGGTTAAGAACCCCAGATTCTACATTTTATTTTCCTTAACAAAAATGTTAGGGAAACCCTAGAACGATAGTCCCCAGTCTATTGGAAGTGGTCTGATGACAAATCTGGTTTGGGAAGTGGTTCCATCTTAGGCGTGGAACACAACTGCCTTTACCTTCTCCTCCCTTGGCACCGGAGGAGCTACAAACACTCATCACTAAGTTTCCTCTACCTAGACTAGTTTTCTCATCTGACTATCACAATACCCATAAAAAGGAGTTTATCTGGTTGGAGGCTTTGGGAAACTTCAACAAAGCTCACTTCCTATTTTAAAGTGATTCAACAAGAAAAAAAAAGTGATTCAACGAAGGTAATTCTGAATTATCTTTATTTTCTTCCTGATCACTTTCAATCATTCACTAACCTGTCTCATCATTTCTAAGCTTTTCAGAAGCAGATTCCAGATCTCTTGGCTTTTTTTTTTACTTTACCCATCCCTTTTGTTTATATGTTCATTAGAACAGTTCACATAGGATGGGCAAGAGAAATGAAAGGAAGAGAAACAAATCAATCAGCTTTGTTACAGAAGGCCTCTTTCAGTACCTCATTCTGGTGTGGCGGTGACCTTGGGCTATTAAATCAACCAACATTTATTAAACAACTATGAGCCAGGCACAGTGCTAAGCACTGGGGATACAAAAAGGCAAAAGACAGTCCCTGCCCTCAAGGAGCTTTCAATCTAGTGAGGGAGACAACATGCAAACAAATATATACAAAGCAAGCTTTACACAGGATAAATAGCTTAACAGAGGAAAGGCACTGGAATTAAGAGGGGTTGAAGAAAACTTCCAGTAGAAGGTAGGAATTTAATTGGGACTTAAAGGAAGTCAGGGAGGTAAGGAGTCAGAAAAGAAGGTGAGCATTCCAGGCATGGAGGACAGCTATAGAACATACCTAGAGCCAAAAGACGGAATGTCTTGTTTGTGGAAGGGACAGGAGACCAGTGCTGAAAAGTCCCATGTCAGGAAGTTAGGTGTAGAAAAACTGGAAAGGTAGGAGGGGGCTAGGTTATGAAGGGCTCTGAATGATACAGCATGAAAAGCCTAGACCAGTGAGTAAAAGCATAGTGGGAAGATTATAAATATGGAACCAGCAAGGGTCTATCATCTGAAAACTAGCCAGAGTTCAGAGAGGCTCATTACTAGGAGGTGATCAATTTTTTGGCCATAACCACGATCATGAAACTGTCTTTAAAATTACGGCAGGGTGGAGAGTGTGTGAGTGTGTGAGTGTGTGTGTGTGTGTGTCTCTGTCTGTTGGTCTGTGTGTACACACACACATTGGTGGAAGACCCATAGCAATGAAATCACAGGTTCTTCAGTATATTGCTGTATAATTAGCTTTTTTCAGTTTATTTGGCAACAGAGGTTTCATGACAGAAGAGGTGGGAACTACTAGTTAAATGAGGCAATGTGATATACCAGAAAGAATAATGGACTAGGAATTGGAACACAGTAGTTCTCATTCCAGTTCCACCATTTTTTTAGACCTAGAACAAGTTGTATACCTTTATGCCTCAGCATCCTTATGTGTAAAATGAGGTTAATAGCTGCTCTGCTCAGAAGATAATGATAAAATGTACAAGGAAGTATCTTCAGAACAGTAGAGTGTTATACAAATGTAAGGTACTCCTGTTATTTCTTTAGGTTGCTCTTTCTCTCACACCACTAACACACATCTTCAAAGAGGTGGTTGTAGTTCTGTTCTCAGCACAGGCACACAAATATAACAAGATCAGTTTTCCCCAAACTTAAGCTTCTGACATATTATACAGGCTTACTAAAATTAAATGGACAAAAGAAACCAACGAGTATGAGACTGAAAGGCTACATTCCAAGTACAGTTTCATAGTCATCTCAGGACAAACTCCTTCCAAGTCCTCCAAAGATGTAAGAGGTACAGTGGTACTTTTGGTAGAAAGATAGGAAGCTTCCTGATTTACACAGTGCATCCTTCCTTGAAGGAGTACAAGTATTAGTCCTTAAAAGGAAGTCAAATCTAATAGAAGAATCTGTGGCAGCAAAGTAGGCTGGAATGATACTCTCCTTCACCTGCAACACCAACTGGCCAGCACACAGATGACTCATCAGCAGAAGTGCTGCCTTTCAAATGCCTTACAGCATTTCAAAACAGGTAGGGATCTTAGAGATCATTAAACACCAAGAGGTCCTATGGCAATTGCCGGATACAAATCTAGAGACCTCTCCTTTCTCCTTCAAATCTAGAACTCTTTCTTCCTTCAGTTTCTTGGTATGCAGCTGAGATCATACCTTCTATCTATGATAGATGGAGACATTACTCTGGGACATTTTTCTTTAAGGATGCTACTGTTTGGGTCTATCCAAAGGACTTCCCTATAGCTACCTTTGTGGACTCATGCTGGAGCAGGAGAATCTAGCAGGGCAGCACAGAGATAAGGAAGTTGTTTGAAAGAGAGTAGAGAATGGGCTAGAAGTCATGTACCTTCTAAGGAAGAGATGATAGATCAGACAAGGCAAAACAATTAGGGTGGCGCCTTGAAATATCAGGATGATACAATTGAACTACTTTCCATATCAATGAATCTATTTGTTGCCTGCTGATATATCCCTAGCACTGAGCACATAAGAATATATTTAATAAATTATGTTAATAAATAATATATTAATAAAAACATATTAAATAAATATATATATAATAAATTGTTGTTGACAGACTGACTAAATCACGTCTTTACTGACTTAGACATCCCAGACATCTAAATCCTAATTCTTATCATGCTTTTGGTACTGCTCCCCTTCAGGAAGCCCTCTAAAACTTCAGGTTCAAGAAAGAATCCCTCCCAATGCTTACTCCCCAATCTTGAAACATCTGAATTCTTATTAGGTGAAAGAAATTGCTGCTTTTCCATCTCCAGTGAACCTGGCCTGGGTGCCTGCTCATAACCTAGAGACACCAAAGAAGTCACTCAGCCCACAAACACAAGACCAATGGTACTTTTCTTGACAGTACTGATGAAACTGGTTGTTCATTTCTGGGGCTAGAGCCAATTATGTACAACAAAATGTTTCCTTCTACTCCATTGTGGAATGTATCTTGTGAAAGCACCTTACAGTAACAAAAATAGATCACTTATGGAAAGACATTTTTTAGGATGGCATGAGAGGAAGCAGCAAAAAGAAAAAATGGTTGCACAAAATATACAGACTTTTATGGGGTACAAATTTGGTGAATGATAAAGGATAAAGGATTCAAGGGTGAAATAAGATTTAAAGGGATGAGCTTAGGGAGAATAGGCTTAATAGGAAAATGGTGGAGTATAAAACAAATGCTAGTTTTAAAAACAGCATCAGGTCCCTCTCTTGTTTTAGGCTACTGCGGATAATGGTTGTTACAGGAATCCTTACTCAGAATTGTTAAGAAGGAATTCAGTACCCACCTCCCTCCCAAACCACCCACCTTTTCTGTACCCTCTGTATTGGTCTGGGTGGGGGGGAAAGGGAAGAGACTACGGATCTGCTTTATTTTCTACCAAACATGTTTTCCGAAAAGGGTCTGAGGAACTCATTTGCACCACAGTGCAAATACCTGAGAAAGCTTAAAGTATCTCTACTCCCAGAGTATTACTATCTTAACAGGGAACAAACAAAAAGAAAGCCATAATGGCGAAATTTCAGCTTTCAGCAAATGAGTCTGTGAGGGTTTTCTGGGGAAATGGTTCCTCCATTTAGTTAATATGTCCTGATGGTCAGACACAACCTGTTCTCCTGTGGCCTCCTGGAACCAACATTATGTGAAGGATGGCATGGTACGGTGTCTGAACTATTCATTCTCTACAAAGGAGCACCACATAACAACTTCTGGCCTCTCTGTGTGCAACAGTGAGCTCATGTCAGGGTTTACAACATCAGAAACCATGGGGGATAAGAACTTGGGTCAGTACCTTATGTGCCCTTACTCACTT